ACTGAGGTGCCCAAGTAACTAGGAAGATGGTCCTACCTCTTCCTGATGTCACCACCTCCAAAAGTGCTGGTGTTACGCCCTACTTCACAAAGGGATTCCCCATTTTTCTCAGCTGGTGACCCACTGCAGTCGGTTGGCACAGCCCTACCATCCTACATGCCAGCACCCCCAGGCCTTTCCTCTCCTCCAGTCGTCACCAGGAAACCATGGCAGCCTCCTACCTGCCTCCTTGTCTACTCTACACAGCAACCAGAGAGATCCCTTTATAGCACAAGTCCACCACATCACTCCTCTGCTTAAGGCCCCTCCAGGCTTCTGGCTTCACTTAATGTCCACATCCTCATCAGAGCCCACAAGACCCCCTACAAGATCTGACCCCCCACTTACCTGTCTGACCTCCCCTCCCGCCAGCCCCCCACTCTGTTTCTAACCACACTGGCCTCCCTGCTGTGTCTGCCCACACCAAGCACGTTCCTAACTCAGGGCCTTAGCACATGCTATTCCCTGTGCCCAGGACACTCTTGCCCCAGATGTCCATTTCCTCCCTTCCACTCAAATGTTTCTTCCCTAGCCAGTGTCTCACTCTTCACTGTGCCACCTTACACGATATTATGACATTTGTTTAACCATAGACTGTCTCCTCCACAGGATTATAAACTTCAAGAGGCTCAGGACCTTGTCAAGGTGTTCACCGTTATATCCCCTGTGCTCAGAGCAGCACTTTCACATAGGGCTCCACAATATGGTTTTATTCATATTGATGTGTTTATTTTTGAGACAGGGTCTTGCTCCGTGGCCCAGGCTGGGGTGCAGTGGTGTGATCATGGCTCACTGCAGCCTCGACTTTCCAGGCTCAAGTGATCCTCCCACCTCAGCCTCCCAAGTAGCCAGGACCACAGGCATTTGCTTATTAATTCATAGCCACCATGCCTGGCTAATTAACAGTATGCTGAGTCAATCAATTAATGAACAGGTGTCACCACTCACAGCACCACCCATCCCTGCCTTCCCCTCATCCCTCACTAACTTTAGCAAAGGGGAGGAAGGGAATGCATGATTCAAGACCCCATAGTTCTTTCTGGTGTCCCCAAACTTTTCCAACACACTGGTCAGGAGCAGGATTTCTTTCTTTCTCTCTCTCTTTCTCTTTCTCTCTCTTTCTTTCTTTCCTTCCTTCTTTCTTTATTTCTTTCTCTCTCTCTTTCCTTCTACCTATATTTCGCCTGCAGTAGGGAGAAGGCTTTTAATAGCCATGGAAATGCTGGGAACGTGTCACCTTCCAAAGAGTGTGCATGTCTGGGACACAGAGGGAAACACCTCATTGCTTGGTACTGAGGCCCAGGCACAGAGGGGACACTGAGTCCCAGCTTGTGTGCCCCCAAGGCTGTGAGAGATGGAAACAGGTTATATCAGTAGTTTTGTGTGTGTGTGGTTTTCTGATTCACTGGCAGAGCTGAACCATATCAACAGATGAAATTAGGTGACACATGGCCGTTGCCATCGCGTGAGCCCAGTGGCCGTTTTCTGTCTGGGGTTATACCCGCTCCTCTAGCTCAGCATCACCACCCACAGGCTACCACCGCTGTTTCTGCCGCTTCCATGAACTATATGTACTGTTCTTTACTCAACTTTTAAAATGGGATGGCTTTTATGACTTGAATACATGCGTTTTAAAAGGAAACCAGGAGCTAAGGAAGACCAAAAGACAGGTGTGACAAGCAGGACAAACCTGGCCCCCGAAAAAGGGCTGTGTGCAGAGGTCAAAGGCAGAGGCCTGAAGGGAGGGGACAGTAGGAGCCACCCTCTGGGTGAGGGAATCCGGGTCCCAAGGGGCTGAGCAGAGGGAAGGAGGAAAGGGGAGTAGGTGAGGTCCTAGGACCCTGGGAATCTCATGGGACTTCTAGGCCTGGGGAGACTGGGAGTGGAGAGCGGGGTGGGGGAGCTAATTGTGACATGTTTTTGGTGCATGTGGGGTTCAGGTGAGGTGAGGATGTGACAAGACAGAGGGTAGAGGCTCAGAGAAGAATCAGGGGGACCAGATGAGTGGAGGAATAAAAGTGGGGCACAGTTTAGGTAAGGGGTACTGAGGAGTTGGGTACAGCAAGAGCCACAGCACAGAAGAGGGCCCTAAAGAGTGAAGCACTTTGGGAGGCCAAGGCAGGAAGATCCCTTGAGCCCAGGAGTTCAAGACCAAACTAGGGAACATAGTGATACCCTGTCTCTGCAAAAAATATTATAAAATTAGCCTGGTGTGGTGATATGTGCCTGTTGTCCCAGCTACTTGGGAGGTTGAGCTGGGAGGATTGCTTGAGTCTGAGAGGTCAAGGCTGTGGTGAGCCTGGATGACTAACCACTAGTCTTGGCAACAGAGTGAGATTCTGTCTCAACAAGAGGAAAAAAAAGAGTAAAGGGGAGCAAGGCTGGGGGCATGCCTGTGATAAACTGGAGACTCCGGTGGGTGGGAGTGTTGAGGGGGGACTGCACTGTGTGAGCCAGAAATGGGCTTAGAGGGAAGGGTAGTGAGGCAGGGAGTGGGTGCTGGATGGGTGACCCACCACCCCAGGCAGGACAGGCTGGGGACTGGACAGTGAGTGTGTTGGTCCCAGCTAGGCAGCATCTCTGTGTTACCCACATGCCGCCTAAAGCCATCTACGTACTCCTGCTCTTAAGCAAGGAATGTCAGTCAGCCCAGGGCTTTAGAGGTCAGAAAGCCAAAAGCATATTACACTATCCTATTGGGAAGATAGAGTTCCTGGGAGCCTTGGTGACTAAGAAGCATGTTAAGGAATGAAAAGAAACTCAAGAAAGACCAGAAAGGTAAACTGTCTTACACAGACCTGTAAAAGCAAGAAATAACTGCAAAGACACAATGCTGGGTTTGGATTTTAGAGTCATCTGCAGAATCACATAGATTATTGTACACAAGAAATCCAGTAGGTGCAGGTAGCCCTTGAAGGTGGCTATTCTGGCCAATGGGATGGACCTTATTCAGGTGGATGGGGCTTTCAAGCACTGAGAGGGTAGGGAGCCAGGTTCTTCGTTTCTAAAGGTCCATGTGGGGTGGCAGAAGGCGCTGACTGTTTATCTGCCTGGTTAGTTGCCCCTCTCCTTCTGGGAACTGCCCCTCCTCCACTCCAATATGGGTCTCCCTTGGGAGCTGCCCTGTTCTTATGTGGCCCTTGCCCCCACAGTCATGATTGATGAGGCTGAGAATGGGCATCTGGAAATTTGTGTTTAATATACAAATTCAGGCAGCTTCTCTTGGGCAGCTGAAGCTGCCACCAGGTATAACGCCAGGGCTGCTGGCTGCCATGTTTTCTGACAAGTGGAGAAACTAGCCTTTAGGAAGAGAGAAAATGGAAGCTGCCAGCAGGGAACACGGGAGAAGGCGAGCATCCTGAATGTGTTCCAGTCCTCAGTTCTCTCTGCTCTTCCTGCTGCTTGACCACCAACTCCTCTTGAGGTCTCTGAGAACCCCACCTACCCCAACCCCCAATGTTCTTGAAACACTATCTCTGAGCTGAAGCTGGTGCAAGTTGGGTGTCTGTCTTTTGCAATCAACTCAGCAATGAAAAGAAAGGGTTATTGAAAAAAAAACCTGGAGGCTTCAGCAATCTCGGTTTTCTCATCTGAGACACTAGAAAGCACTTTCAGGGACTACTCGAGGCTCAGGGAAGCTGACGGCATCAGGGGGACTTCACACAACTACTGACTTAAGCTTAAAAGGAACCCATAACTAGCTGGGTTTTATTTTGGGATTGTTTATTTCTAATTATTCTGTTCACAGAATTCAGGGGAACCCAAGCCAAGTGTCCTGCCTATAGCTTTAAGGAGGCACCATGCCAAGGAGTGGAAGATGAGGTGATGAACTCAGGACCCCTTACTTTCCATAAAATTTGCTGATTGAATTTTCATGGTAACTCACACTCTGAAATGGAAATAAGTTCTTTGGCCTCTTGATCCTGGGGTGACAGAGGTCACTGTAAGGAAGGGGTAGAAGGAAGAATAAAGGAATGAGTGCCAAAATCTGACCCACAGACCCTGACCCAGTGACAGATGAACAAATTCACTCAAACACAAATCTCCAGTGAAAGAGTGGGCTGGGGGGGGGGGTCCATAGCCACTCACAGACACTCCTGACAGAGATAGCAGCCATGGCCCCAACCAGCTAGTTCTTTAGGCATTTATTTAGTAAAGATTTAATAACGGAAGCTCTGCGTCAACACACACACTTATGGATAATGATTAAAGGCCAGGTTCTGAGGCCTACAGCAATCACCATTTGTGGGTAATGAACTTCTGCCAACTCCCCGAGTAGGAGGCAGTCAAGCACAGATGGGCAAAGGTTGGTCTTAGGATAATAAGCCATTTAGATAAACTCCTTTGCATTCCCTAGTTATTTGCTTTTCTTTCTTTATCAACTAAAGGTAAAGGGGATTAGGATGCCTTTAGCCAAAACTTCTACTGATACTATGCAAACTTCTCAGCCTTCCAGGCAGGTTTGTGCCTATATTCTGTAATTTTACAATTTCTTCCACCATCCTGAGTGAACCCCCACAAATGAAGAGAAGATCAGGGGGCATGGGTACACAGGCACCTGTCCTCAACAGCCTTGCTTCCCTCTGTGAACGATCTCAAGGTCAAAGCTGGAATTGTTCCTGCACATGCCAGCTCCATCTGCCCAGCTAGTCACATCTAAAACCCAGGCAGGGCATTCTCCTGACCCCTCCCTCTCCATCCTCCTGCAATTCCAGTCCAGTCCACCTTCCAGTCCAGTCCACCCCCATCTACCCCTGCTCACTTCTCTCCATTGTCCTGCCATCACCTTCGTTCAGTTCACAAATTGCATTCTTACCTGAGTGACCACAGCCCTCTGCTTTATCATGCCATGTGCCTTTAACTGTTGCCCTGGCAATCAATAAATCTCACTGCTACCACAGTTTCTCCTTTCCATTATGCAAAGAGAGCCTCACACCTCTGGGCTTTCTATAGATTATGCAAAAAGAAAAGCCATTTAAATATCTCTGCTTCCTCTTTGACTCACGTTTTTAAGTTAGCTCTTTCTCATATTTATGGGGCAATGTTTTTTGATTTTCTAATTATTAAGAAACATTTAAAATATAAAACAGGTATGAAGAATAACACAGTGGACACCCATGATCACACCCAAGGACATGCAGCCGAGGACACAAAAAGTGACCAATGTACAGGGACCTTGTCTTTAGAGGAGGATTGATGCCATCTGAGGCCTTTCCAGATGTACTCATGTACTTCCAGGGAATTGAAAAAACTGTTTCAAACCATGTGTCCCAGACACAGCCCAGAGTCCACACGTCCAGCTGGAAGGCCTTTCTTCTGGACTCTCGTCTGAGGAAAGTGGATCTTCTTCTTCCTTGAGTCCTCAGGAGCTCCTAAGCACATTCCCTTCTAGGACAGACTTAGAGACTCTCTGAGCTGAGAGGACCCTGGGGAGGAAGAAATCCAGACTCCCCCATGGCACAGGAATGCCCTCCCAACTTTCCCACTCATGGGCTCAGTGAGGGATAGCAGTGGGGCCCAAGCCCCACAGGAGAAGCATTCCAGAAAAGAGAAAGGAAGATGCAATAAACAAAGGAGACATGAGCATCTGGAACAACCTGGACATGTTGTTATGTATTTTGAGGCCACCTGGAAGTAGGGCTCATCTAGGAAATGCATGAAAGAAGTTGATGCAGTCAGTCCTTCATTTCTCTTCTGTGGGCCAGACGCAAAGCAAGAGGTTGGGATTTGAGGATGAATAGGCTGTGATTCACAAGCTTGAGGAGCGTATACCGAGAGGTTAACTTAAGTAAACAAACATTTATGAAATGTTTGTTTCATTAAAAAAAAACTGTGTGACAGGAGCTACCACAAATCTGCACGTTCAGGGAAGGAAACCTCTGAATCACACTTAGGGCATGGAGGAAGGCTTCCTGGAGGAGGGGACGCTTGTCCTGCATTGTGGAGCATGCTTGTGGGGAGCTGCAGGTGGCTCCACCTGTCTGGAGCAAAAGTGTAGAGTGGACAGTGGTGGGAGATGTGGCCAGAACAACATCATGGAGACCTTGTGCACAGAGCTGAGTATGAGGCTTCTGAGAGCTAGGGGTGGCCACTGGAGGGTTCAAGGCAAGGTACCCTGAAGAGAACTGGAAAGCCCTGTGAGGTAACATCTGGCTGAAATTGAATGAGTGAGAGCAACAAGGAGGCAGCCGTGGGATGGAAGTGAGAAGCCAGAAGAGGCTACAGCAGGGTGGTGGCAGTGAGAAAGGACAGGAGGGGGCTGGGCACAGTGGCTCACGCCTGTAATCCCAGCACTTTTGGAGGCTGAGGCAGGCTGATCACGAGGTCGGGAGTTAGAGACCAGGCTGGCCAACACGGTGAAACCCTATCTCTACTAAAAATATAAAAATTAGCCAAGCATGGTGGTGCATACCTGTAATCCCAGCTATTTGGGAGGCTGAGGCAGGAGAATTGCTTGAACCTGGGAGGCAGAGGTTGCAGTGAGCTGAGATTGCACCACTGCACTCCAGACTGGGTGACAGAGCAAGACTCCATCTCAAAAGAAAAAAGAGAGAGAGAGAGAAAGGACGGGAGGGAAGACTGTAAGGAAAGAAGCATCTGTGACACTGGGAGTAAGTGAAGGAGGATCTGGGTAATCCTCAGTCTTCAGGCTTGGCTCACTGGGAGCTAGTGGTGCGCTGCATCAGCAGAGAGAATTCCAGATAAGTAGACTCTGGTACAGGTCTTTGGATGATGGGACAGAAGTTGAGTCGTAAGTTGTAGGGATAAGGCCCCACAGACACTACATGTATGAAAGACGGTAGATGCAAAACGAAGGCCAGGGAATGGTCAAGCAAGACTAGGACGTGGGAAATAGATTCTCTGATCACACACACAGTTTCTCTGAGGTGATGCCCTGATGGACTTTGGTGGACATAGCTCGGCTGAAGAGGCATCCCAAGGTTCCAGGGTTGAAGTCTTGGGTGTCCATCTTAGCGCCAACAGTTTAAACTCTAGGAACATCATCTGTGGGCCCCAGTGAAGCAGCTGGAGCTCTGTTCAATTTGATTCCATTTTTTAATTTTAGGGTTTTGTTAAGTTAAAAAAATTAGTTATACATAGTTCGAACAATAAAATAATCATGTATCAAAAATATCAGTTGTCTACGCCCCTTTCCTGTGCTCCAGAGACCACTACTTCCAACTCTTCTCAATTTCTTTTTTTCACATTTAAAAAAATGTTTTGTTACAATTTCAAATATATACAAAAGCAATCAACAGAATGGCATAACACAGTCCAATTTCATTTATATTTTGCTATGTAACAAGCTACTCCAAATCCATGATATAAATCAAGAGCTGTTATGCTCATAGATTCTGAAGATCAGGATTTGAACAGTGCATGGTAGAGATGGCTTCTTTCTGCTCCATGATGTCTGGCCTTCCACTGGAAAGACTAGAAAGGCTGGTGTAACTCAAATCACTGGGACTAGGATCACCTAGAAGTTGCTTCTGTCTTGTCTGGTTTCTGGGTGGGATAACTTGAAGGCTGGGCTTGGTTGTGTCTATTGACTGGAATGTCTGTACATGGTTTGTCCATTTGACTTGAGCTTCTCTCTTTCTTCAGTAATTTTTTTCTTTAAAATTTTTTGCTTTTTTTGTTTTCTTTTGGTTTTTTGTTTTGTTTTGTTTTGTTTTTTAAGAGATGAGATCTTGCTATGTTACCCAGGCTGCTCTTGCACTCCTGAGCTCAACTGATTCTCCTGCCTTGGCCTCTCAAAGTGCTGAGATTACAGGCATGAGCCACCCAATTCTTCTCAAGTATTTTGGTACTTACCACCATAGCTGTAAGTACCATGGGTATATGCACTCTTCCGGACTTTTTCCATGTTAGGCACTTACATGCTATAGTCTTTTCAATATGGCAGACAAGTATCACATAATGGAGTCTGGATTCCCTCTCCTCCAGGGTCTGCTCAGAGGCAAACCCCAGAGAAGAAGACCGGTTCTCTTTGTGTTTTGTTTTTGGTTTTGTTTCTGCTTTTGATAGAGACAGGGTCTAGTTATGTTCCCCAGGCTGGCCGTGAACACCTGAGCTCAAGGAATCCACTGACCTCAGCTTCCCAAAGTACTGGGATTACAGGTGTGAGCCACCATGACTGGTCCCATTCTCCTTGTTTAACTGTTTACCCCACCCTCATCTCAATGCTTCACTAGTGCCCACTTCACACTCCCCCATCATCAATTTCCAGTGTTCGCTTTATTATGATTGTGTTTATGCTATGCAAAACAAATCACTTAAGGTATATCATGATTACTTTTTTCCTTTTCCTCCATAGCTTTGTTTATTCCACTGGAGTTAATAATGCTTCCTTCCCCCTATTTACTTAGTAATATTTGTGGCACTTATCATTAGTCCAACCCCTAATCTTCCCCCAATGTGTAAACCTTGCAATATTTTCAGACATGATTCTTTCAGTGTGACCTTCTTGAAGAACTCTTTCCTGGGGTCTTTGAAGCAGCTTCAACCTGAGTACGCTGCTTTCTATGCCTAGTAGATAGCTGTCTACCCAGGAGCTTCCTCATTGCCTGCCTCTCCTGGTTTCCTCAGCCTTAATCTCTTGCTCTCACTAGGTTTCCTTCCTTGTTTTGATGGACCACATCCTTCAGCAGCTTCCTGAGAGCGAAGATAAGGCAGTATCATTTTTTGTGAAACTCTGCATATCTGAACTGTTTCAATCCCTTCTCAAATTGATTTTTTGGTAGTTTGGATATAGTATTCTAGGTAAGAAATGGTTTTCCTTCAGAAGGCATTGTTCCACTGACTTCTAGTTTCCAGACTTGAAGCAACTGTGTTGATATTTTGTCGCTGGTTTTTTTTTTTTTTTTTTTTTTTGAACTTTTTCTGATTTTTTTTTCAATCTCTGAAACCCTGTTGGATTTCCTTTTTGTCTCCAGTTTTGAAAAATTTCAGGCGATGTGCAGTACAGCTCAATTCTACAGACACGTATCAAGAGCACGTACTACATAGTTTATCACACTAAACACTCCAAGATATACAAAGATATGGATAAGTCCTGAGAGAGCTAGAAATCTGAGGGAAGTGTGGGAGATAAGCAAACAGAATATGGATGAGCATGTAGTGTTAAGCGTATAAATGATACAGATAAGACTTGTATCAGTTGACAGAGGAAGAGGAACAATAACAAAATAAAAATAAATAAACAATAAGACTTGTAAGGGCAACATTTTTACAAATTCCAAGTGTTGGCATTTTTAAGAAAGAATGATGCAGGCTCCCAACCTGATTCATTTCGTTAGAAATTTGGCCTTCCGATGCACTCAGCAAACTCCTTGCCTCTTACATCTATAGCTCTGTTTGGCTGTTTGGCTGTAAGCTATCAACAAGAGGGTGATGTTTTGACTTTGAATCCAGTGGATAGCTGCTGACTGACTACCATTCTGCAGGAGGCCTCGCAATCTTGAGTTCAATGCCAGAGGTTCATTCCCTCAAGCTTCCTAAGGTGTCAGTTGGATAGAGCCAGGAACCAGGGCCCAGAGCCCCCTTTCATGAAGCAATCTCTAAAATGTGTTTCTCCTTACTTTTCAAGGTGTACCTATACATACCAATAGAGAGAACATCATAAAGATAGATATGCTACATAGTAAGCTGCTCAAGACATGTTTTTTCAATGGGATGAATACAGAATACTTCTCTTTGTGTAGTATTACCCAATATTTATACAGCTACCCCCCAACATACCACCCAACCACTTTGGGAATCGGCCAAGAGTCACCCTATGCTGGTGATGGCTGGGAGGACTAGAACATCATTATTGTTATTGAAAACTGTTTATGCATATTAGCTTGTTTAATTCTCACAACAATTCTATGAGGCAGGTTTTCTTGGGTTTTTGTTTGTGTTTGAGATGGAGTCTCGCTCTTTCGCTCAGGCTGGAGTGCAGTGGCACCGTCTCCACTCACTACAACCTCTGCCTCCCAGGTTTAAGCAATTCTCCTGCCTCAGCCTCCTGAGCAGCTAGGATTACAGGTGTGTGCCACCACACCCAGCTAATTTTTGTATTTTTAGTAGAGACAGGGTTTCACCATGTTGGCCAGGCTGATCTTGAACCCCTGACCTCAAGAGATCCACCCACCTTGGCCTCCCAAAGTGCTGGGATTACAAGTGTGAGCCACCTCACCAGGCTAGAGGCAGTTATTTTTAATCCTTATTTGATAGATTTAGAAACTGAAGAATAGAAATGTCAAGCGACTTGCTCAAGATCCCAAAGCTAAGAATGACAAAACAGAGCTTCAAATTTAAGCAGACCCAACCCAGACCCATCCCAGCTCACAACAGATCCAACTCGTACCACCACAAAAGCAATTCCAAATCTCACTTGAATCCCAGGTTAGACTCTTGGAATCTCTCGCCAAGCTGAAGGGCTACCCCAGAAGAGCTCATGTGAAAGACCACATGGAGGGAGAACCCATTTTATTCCTTCTTGTTCTGATGCTATTTCACTGTAGGACGCTGAATAACACACCCGGCTCTCTAAGCGTCAGTTTCCTTATCTGTAAAATGAAGTTAGGAATATATTGTGAAGAGTTGGGAGAGGCCCATGATGACTGAGGGAAAAGAAGCAGTGAGCCGAAGGCCTTCTAAGAAACAGTTCTGTGCTCCCTGGAGAACGACGGGCAACACAGGAGGAATATGGATGATACAGGATGGTAAATTACTGTAGAAATTTTTAGATGGGTCTGAACTCCCTCTTCAAATATTCCATTGTAATCTGAGACTCTATAGTTTCTACCAAAATGTAGGTGCCTTCAAGCAGTGAGTGATAATTTGAATCTAGTTCATTCCTGGGAATCAGTGGTTCTTAACTTGGCTGCACACTGGGATAACCAATGCAGCTTGAAACGTGCAGGTGTTCGGGTCCACCCTCACAGATTTCTATTTGGGGTGTTGCCTGAGCATTTGGAATATTAAGAGTTTCTTCATATGATTTGAATGTCCAGACCAAGTGGAGAACCAGTTCCCAGAGCTTCAAGTTACTTATTTTCTGGTCTGAAGTTTAACAAAGAAAAAAAAAGGAACCAGTGATGCCATAGGTCTCAAATGTTAATGTCCAAACAAATGAATCTCCTGGGTGTCTTGTTAAAATGCAGCTTTCAATTCAGTAGGTCTAGGTTGGGCCTGGCATCCTGCCCTTCTTGCTGTTGTTTCGTTTTGTTTTTTTGAGGCCTTCATACTGGAGGGGATTCTGCCTTTCTAAAAAACTCTCATAGGCTGCCCACACTGCTCTCCACAGACCGTACTTGAATAGCTAGGCTACAGCTTGAATGATTACAGACTTGAAGGAGAATTATGGCTCTTCATACCAGCGGGGACCTTCAGCAAGAAGTTACTTCACCCCTCTGAGACTCAGTTTTCTTAACTATAAAATGCAGGCCAGCAATAGCAACCTTACCACAGAGTTCTTGTGATGCCTAAATGAGAAAATGCGTTCAATTTGTTTAGCACTTTGCAACAAATGTTAGCTTTTTGCTAGGATAACCAGCACTCACGGAATACTTACTATGTGGCAGGAATTTTCTAAGTGCATTCATGTATTAACTCATTCAAGTCTCCAAACAACACAGTGAGGTAGGTACTATTATTTCATCATCCCCCTTTACAGATGAAGAAACCGAAGCGCAGAGAGGTGGAGTTCCTTGATCTGCAGTGACACCGCGTTATGGCTAAGCTGGTGTTTGAACTCAGGAAGAATTTGGGCTCCTTACCAGGATCCCTCGCCAAGGCAGTGAGTCAGTGCAGTAAGTCGAGGGATTGCCCTTTGAACTGGGCTGGGACCGGCAGGTGGCAGACTAGGGCTGCTGGAGTTCAAAGACCGCTTCCAAGACCACGCCCGGAGCCAGCTCCGCGCTAAGCGTTCCACCACACAACCGCGGACAGCTTCTACAGCTTCTTCAAACTCCCCTTTCCCTTCCCTCCACCCTAGGGTCCTTGCCCAGAATCAATCAGGAAATATTAGCCCCATATAACAGGTTCAAATCTAACCTCCCCAAGACAAAACCACGTCCGCAGGGAAAGAAGAGAGTAAAGCGAGTTTTCCGTAACTCCCCCTTAACGCAGGAGCGCAACCAGCCCGGGAAATCTACAAATCACTTTTTAGTTCAGCAAGGGGGAGCCTAGCGAAGAGGGAGAAATCTGGGGAATCCTTCTTGAATTCACCTGGGCACTTAGGAGGCGCCGGGCTTTGGTGCATGCGTGCAAGGCAGCGGACAGTCACTGGGGAAGCTCTATTTTGCGGAAGGATTACCTCGAAAAGGCGGATCTTTTTGCAGGGTCCGATGACAGCTGGTGGCACATGAATTTGAGGGACAGTTCAAGGGGTGGGGGTTAACAGGTTGGTTTCCATGGCGCCCGGGGCGTGGGGGAGGAATGCATCCCGCAAGCTGTGGCGAAACAACTGTGCTGCCCGGCGGGCCGGGCTCGAGACGGCAAGAGATACCGGCTTGGGGGTGGAGTGGGGGGGTGGGGGAAGCCGGCCAGGACGGGGGTGGGGCGGTCACGTGTGCCCGAGGGGGCGAGGCCCCAAGCTGGCCCCGAGAGGACTCTGCGGGCGAAGTGGCTGCGCCAGGAGAGAACTTTGCCTGCACAAGGAACGCCTTGTGGGAGAAGACCCAGGGCAGGAGCGGTCCGGAGCCGGCTGCGGCGTGTGCGGCCGGCCTTGGGACAGCGATCGCGGCGGGTGGGAACAGAGATTCCCCAAGTAAAAGTAGGAGCAGGAGCTTGGGGGTGAGCGCAGGGATCCCCACTCGCGGCTTTTACGCAGCCTCGAGTTTCTCGGTGTCTTCTGGGATAGGCAAGTGTCCTTTCTACTCTGAGAGACCAGCGGAGGCCACTGTCCCTTGAGACTGCCAGAGTCCTCACCACTTCTCCAGGATTCCAGGGGAGACTGGCCATGGTGAATGAAGGTCCCAACGAGGAAGAGCGCGATGACACCCCTGCGCCGGAGACGGAACTCCAAGCGGATGGCAGCGTGTCGGTCCATCCCAGCGTCTCCATCGACCCCAGCCTCTCTGTCCACCCCAGCAGTTCGGCCCACCCCAGTGCCTTAGCGCAACCCAGTGGCTTGGCTCACCCCAGTGGCTCGGGCTCCGAGAACCTCAGCGTGATCAAGGTGAGCAGGCGCCGTTGGGCCGTGGTCCTGGTGTTCAGCTGCTATTCCATGTGCAACGCCTTCCAGTGGATCCAGTACAGCTCCATCAATAACATCTTCATGCACTTCTACGGGGTCAGCGCCTTTGCCATTGACTGGCTGTCCATGTGCTACATGCTGACCTACATCCCGCTGCTCCTGCCGGTGGCTTGGCTGCTGGAGAAGTTCGGCCTGCGCACCATTGCTCTCACCGGCTCAGCTCTCAACTGCCTGGGAGCCTGGGTGAAGCTGGGCAGCCTACGGCCGCACCTCTTCCCAGTCACCGTGGTGGGCCAGCTCATCTGCTCCGTGGCCCAGGTTTTCATCCTGGGCATGCCCTCCCGCATCGCTTCCGTCTGGTTCGGGGCTAATGAGGTTTCCACAGCCTGCTCTGTGGCTGTCTTTGGCAATCAGGTAGGTAGAAGAGTTTGTGAATGTTCAGAGGGGCGCGTTTTAGATTGCACCTAACTACTGGGTGTGGGCGTCCGTAATTTTCTGATTGTTCAGCAGTGTTTGTGACTCTGGGTGACTGTGACTGGGTGTGACGGGCCTTGATTGTGATGCTGTAAAAAAGGTGGGACACAAAAGCAGGGGGGCCTGCTCCTTCATTGCTCTTGCGGCAGTGGAAAGCATGCTTCTAGAACACACTCTACCTTCATTGTTTGCTCTGAACCTGTGTCAGTCCACCAACTTAGACCTGTAACTTCAGGAATGCTCTTATTCCTCTGGCAGCAGCCCCTGGGCATCAGACTACTCTGGTGTCATCAGAACTTGGCAGTGTTTTCAGTTGGACCAAAGAGCTTTCCTAGAGTGCGGTATCTCCTGTACTGCATAGAATTGCAGAGCCATGCCTGGTGATGTTTGGCACTGTTTTTACCTTGTTTTATACACAGCTGAAGCCAGGATAGTGGGAACACTGCTTTGTGCCAAACTCCTTCCCTGGGATTTAGAGCCAAGTCCAGCAGGGTGGAGTAGAAATCTCGCTCTGAATTTCCAAGGCCTAGAAAGGCTAATTCATGTCTTAATCTTTTTCTCTTTTCTTCTTATTGCAAGGAGGAGAAGCTCAAATTCTTTGCATTTCAGTGTGGTTATGATCCAGAAAGCTGGGCAGGTTGTGAACCTGAACGCCATCTCCAAATGCTTGAAGCAAATATTTACCGCTCATTTAAAGCAAACGTCCATTAACCAGACCACTGCCTCTAAGTCTCGCTTCTTTCTGAGCACGTAGGGTCCTGGTTGTGTGTTTAACAAAGGATTGGTCATTCCAGTTCTTCTCACTGGCCTATTTTCACCTATCTATTAATTTCATTTAGAAAATGTAAACTTTCATTCAGACATATTTTGTTTGAAAACAGAAACTTTACAAAACTTCTCTAAAGGCAAATTTCCCATTCTGTTCATTTTTACCTCCAGGAAGGTAGCCACTTCACTTTGATCCTGACACAAAGATCACCATAACCTTTGCACTCCGGTAATTCTGACGTCTCTGTTTAAACGCTTCTTCCATACTCCACATGTGCACTACCTTCTGCTTGCACTAAAATCCGACATTCTTCCTTTTGACAAGCATTTATCCAGCCTTTTGCAAGACAGCGTACTAGGGCTGCAAACATAATTCTTGCCTTTGAAGAGTTACTATACCAGGTTTTAAAAAATTGTTCCAGGAGCCAAGATTCAGATTATATTAGAAAAACACACACACAACAACTAAACAGATCAGAGCACAGAGGATTTATTTTCAGTTCTCCATGAGGTTTTTAGCATTTTCTTTGCCTAATTGCTATGGGAAGGGGTAAAGAAGGGAAAAGAAGCTAATATCTATTAAACATCTACTATTATGCAAGGTACCTTTACATCCATTATTTAACTTAATCCTTTCAACAACTCTGTGAGGTAGGTGAAATTGTCCCCATTGTCGCAGGAGAGGGAACTGAGACCCTGATAAATCTTCCAACTTTATCCAGAGTCCTATAGCTACTGGGTAGTAAAAGAGAAATTTAAACCCAGTTCTACCTTCAAAGCCACTCTCAGTAGGCCAATATTACTTGTGGATCGAGCATATATGTAAAAAGAGAAAAAGCAGATTCTGAGGATTTAATTTTTCCCCTTGTGTCTCCAGGGTTATTGGTGATAGTTTCCAGCAGTTCTGTCCAGTTTAAGGGTCTAGCACTTGTTTTCTTTCTGAAGTTGCCGCTAAAGAGCTGATTCTGCCTCTTCTAACCTAGCTCAGCGATTGTCTTGTCAAGAAGGTGAGGGTGAAGTCTCTAGCAGGAAGAAACCAGTGAATCCAGAGTGGAGGAGAGAGAGGGAAGGTGAACCTGGAGAATACAACTGAGGCCCTTCCCTTTTCTTGGTATGCTCTGACCAGTAGCCCCCAGGTAATAACAGCCTGGAATTTTTAGCAAAACTTGTATCGTTGTTTCAAAGGGAGATGAGCTGTGTGGGGTTTTAAGTGACAATGCATACATTATTATTGTGCAAGGATTGGAAGAAAACCTTGTTTCCTTGGTGATACAGGACAAGAGAGATGTAGGATCTAAAAGAGATATTCAAGGTCAGTCCTAACCCAGGTGAGAGTCCTGCAGGATGGACGTAGTGAGGGGACTTCGCCAGGTAACTCATAGCACAGTGCAATCCAGAAATAGAATAGGAGAGAATCAGTTTACTTTTAGAAGTATATAGTCACTTTACAGAACCAATTCTATAGAAACCACAGCTATCTGTCTAAAATAGCACTGACCAATAGAAATATAATGCAGCCCGCAAATGCAAGTCACATATCTGACTAGATTTTCTAGTAGCCACATTAAAGATGTACGTTTGTTTAAGTAAAAATAGCAGGTGAAATTAGTTTTAGTAAATGCTTTAGTTTGTTTTATGCTGCTCTCAGGAGCATAAATTAATAATAAACAGAAATTTACTTGACTTACAGTTTGAATGGCTGGGCAGTCCAAAGCCAAGGGATCAGCATCTTGCGATGGTCTTCTTGCTGTGTCATAGCTCGATAGATGGCATCTCATGCTTGAGAGAGTGCAAGAGAGGGCCAGACTGACTTTTATGACAAACCCACCCTTGTTATGACAGTGATCCATTCATGAAGGTAGAGCCCTCATGACCTAATCACCTCTTAAAGGTCTCATGTCCCAGTAGTGTCACACTGGGAATTAGATTTCCAACACGTGAACCTTTGTTGTTGTTGTTGTTTGTTTTGAGATAGAGTCTCACTGTCCACTAAGGGTGGAGTTCACAGACAAGATCTTGGCTTGCTCCAACTTCTGCCTCCTGGATTCAGGCAATTCTCCTGCCTCAGCCTCTGGAGTAGCTTGGATTACAGGCACCTGTCACTATGCCCAGCTCATTTTCTATTTTCAGTAGAGATGGGGTTTCACCATGTTGGCCAGGATGGTCTTGAACTCCTGACCTCAAGTGTTCTGCCTGCCTCGGCCTCCCAAAGTGCTTAGATTACAGGCATGAGCCACTGCGCTTGCCCCCCTCCAACACATGAACTTTAAGGGACACATTCAAACCATAGTATTCTGTCCCTGGCCCCCAGAATTTATGTCCTTCTCCTGGACAAAACACATTCATTCTATCCCAATAGCCCCAAAAGTCTTAACTTGTTCCAGCATCAATTCAAATGCCCAAATTCTAGAGTCTCACCTAAATCCCACATGAGGGAGACTCAAGGCATAACTCATAATGAGACAAATTCCTCTCCGCTTCTGAACGTGTGAAATTAACAAAATCCAGCCTGGACATTAAAAAAAAAAAAAAGCTATGCATGGTTGCACATGCCTACAGTTCCAGCTACTTGGGAGGCTGAGGTACAAGGATAGCTTGAGCCCAAGAGGTCAAGAATGCAGTGAGCTGTGATCATGCCACTGCACTCCAGCCCAGGTGACAGCGAGAGAGACCCTGTCTCAAAAACAACCCCCAAAACTAACAAGTTATATGCTTCCAAAATACAATGGTGGGACAGGCATAGGATAGATATTACAAAAAGGAGAAATAGTCAAGAAGAAAGGGTAAGTGGTCCCAAGTAAGTGCAAAACTCAACAGGGAAAACATTCAGTCTTAAAGTTGAGGAATAATCTTCTTTGACTTTATGTTAAACAGCTTGGTTGGGCTCAGTCCACCCAGCAGCTCTCACAGCTGGAGTCTCATGCCTGCAACTCTCCCAGGCCAGTGTGGCACACTGGTAGCTCTACAGTTTTGGGGTCTTGGTGATGGCCACACTTCGTGGCTCCACTAGGTATTACCCTTTTGGGAGCCCTCTGCAGTGGCCCTGCCCCTGGAACAAGTCTGCCTGAGCCCTCAAGCTGTTCATGACATTCTCTGAAGTCTAGATGGAAGCCACCATGGCCCATAGCTCTTGCACTCTATGCGCCTGCAGGTTAGCACCATATGGATGCCACCCAAGTTAATGGCTTGTACCTTCTAGAGAAGAAGATCAAGCCACACCTGGGACCACTTGAGCCATGGCTAGGGTAGCCAAGGGGTGCTGTGCCAAAATGCAGGGAGCAGAGTTCCAAGGCAGCTCTGGGCAGTGAATGCTGAGGTCCCATGGTGACTCTCTGGAAACCTTACTGTCTTAGTTGATTTTGTGTTGCTATAACAATACCTGAGACCGAGTAATTAAGAAAAGAGGTGGCCAGGTGCGGCAGCTCACGTCTGTAATCCCAACACTTTGGGACGCCAAGGTGGGCAGATCACCAAGGTCAGGAGATTGAGACCAGCCTGGCCAACATGGTGAAACCCCGTCTCTACTAAAAAATACAAAAATTAGCTGGGTGTGGTGGCATGTGCCTGTAGTCCCAGCTACCTGTGGGGACTGAGGCAGGAGAATCACTTAAACCTGGGAGGCAGAGGTTGCAGTGAGCTGAGATTGTGCCACTGCACTGCAGCCTGGCAGCAATGCAAAACTCCATTTAAAAAAGAGAAAAAGAAATAGAAAAGAAAAGAAAAGAGATTTCTTCAGCTCATGGTTCTGCAAAATGAAAAGTTCAAGGGCACAGCCCCAGCTTCTGGCAAGGGCTTACATGCTGTGTCCTAACATGCAGAGAAAGTCAAAGGGAAAGTGGATGCATATGAAGAGGCATAACCCAGGGGCATCCTAGCTTTATAACAACCCAATCCCTTGGGAACTAATCCATTCCCTTGAGAATAACCCAGTTTCATGAGAGTGACAACTCGCTACTGTGAGATCAGCACCAAGCCATTCATGAGGGATGTGCCCACATGACCCAAACACTTCCTACCAGGGATTACCTCCCAATGCCACTCTATTGAGGATCAAATTGCAACATGAGTTTTGGTGGGTATAGACTCAAATCATATCCAGACCATAGCATTCTGCTGTTAGCCCCCCAGAACTCATGTCCTTTTCACATACAAAATAGTCATTCCACCTCAATAGTCCCAAGAGTCTTAACTTGTTGATATGGTTTGGGGCCATGTCCTCACCAAATCTCATGTTGAATTACAGTCCCCAGTATGGGAGGTGGGGCCTGGTGGGAGATGATTGGTTCATGGGAATGGATTTCTCACAAATGGTTTAGCACTGTCTCCTTGGAGCTATTCTCATGATAGTGAGTTCTTATGAGATCTGGTTGTTTAAAGAATGCAGCAACTCCTCCCTCTCTCTTTTGCTCCTACTCTGACCAGGCGATGTGTGTACTTCCCCTTTGACTTCCACCATGATTGTAAGTTTTCTGAGGCCTCCCAGGAGCTGAGCAGATGCCAGCATCATGCTTCTTATACGGCCTGCAGAACCATGAGCCAATTAAACCTCTTTTCTTTATCATTACCCAGTCTCCAGTATTTCTTCATAGCAATGTGAGAATGGACTAATACGCTTGTTTCAGCATCAACTCAAAAGTCCAGAGTCTAAAATTGCATCTGAAACTCCATGTTCCTTCCAACTATGAGCTTTTAAACTCTAAAACAAGTTGTTTACTTTGAAGATGCAATGGTTGCACAGACATTGGGTAAAATTGCCATTCAAACATAGGGTCTCGCTCTTTCACCCAGGCTGGACTGCTGTGGTGGGTTCTTGGCCACCTGGGTACAAGTGATCCTCCCACCTCAACCTCCCAAGTAGCTGGGACCAGGTGCACTCCACCACACCCAGCTAATTTTTCTATTTTTTTGGTAGATGGAGTTTTGCCATGTTGCCCACAGTGGTCTCAAACTCCTGGGCTCAAGTGATCCTCCCACCTTGGCCTCTCAAACTGCCTGAATTACAGGCATGAGCCACACCAAGCCCTGCCCAGCAGACTTTAAACCTTAAACCTCCAGAATAATCTCCTTTGGACTGAGGTTTTGCATCCTGGACACACTGGTGCCAGGAGTGGGTTCCCAGCGCTTCAGACAGCCCTTTTCCCATGACTTTGTTGGACATTGCCCACATGGCTGTGCTCACAGGTTGGAATCAAATGCCTGAAGCTTTTCCAGGCTGAGGTCACATGCTGCCAGTGACTCTAGCATTCTGGGGTCCTGCAGTGGCCCTGCCCTTGTGGCTCCACTAGTCATTGTCCTAGTGAGGACTCTTTGCAGAAGCTCTGACCTCACATTTCTGCTTGGCATTGCCTTGGTAGAGGCTGTCTGTGGTGGCTCTGCCCCATGACAGGTTTCTGCCTAGGCTCCTAGGCTTTCTTTTTTACCTTTATCCTTTTTTTTTTTTTTGACAAAGTATCTCACTCTGTCACCCAGGTTGGAGTGCAGTGGTGTGATCACAGGTCACTGCAGCCTTGACCTCCAAGGCTCAATCAGTCTTCTGGCCTCAGCTTCTCAAGTAGCTGGGACTATAGGCACACATCACTGCACCTGGCTAGGTCTTGCCATTTTGCCCAGGCTAGTCTTGAACTCCTGGGCTCAAGTGATCTGCCCACCTCAGCCTCCTAGAGTTGGGATTTCAAGGCCACTGTGCCTAGTCTGCTCCCAGGCTTTCTGATATATCATCTGAAATCTAGGTGGAAGCTGCCATGCCCACCACTCTTCAATTCCACATGCATGCACAATAGTAACATGTGGACATGGATGCCACCAAGACTCACAGCTTACACTCTCCAGAGCAGTGGCTCAAGCTGTACCTGGGGCTATTTGGGCCATAGCTGTTCTGGCCAGAGCAGCTAGAAGAAGCATCCTGAGGTTGCTCAGGGCAATGGTACCCCACCATTCTGTCCTCCTAGGCCTCTGGGTCTGTGATAGGAGGAATGGCCCTAGACCTTAGAAACACTTTCAGAGCCTTTCTTCCATTGTTCTGTTAGTACCTGGCCTCCTTCTTTCAGCACTTATCTCTTTAGCAAAAGGTCTCTCGGCTGCACCCTTAGATTCCCCTCCTGAAAATGCTCTTTCATTCTCTACCACATGGCCAGGCTGCACATTTTCTAAATTTTAATGCTCTGCTTCTTACAAATTTCACCTTCAGGTCACTCCTTTGCTGTGTGTAAGCTGCCAGAGTAACCACACTGTGTCTTGAGCATTTTGCAGCTTAGAAATTTCTTCTGCCAGATGCTCTAGGTTATGTTTGGTCTTCCATAAAGCCCTAAGGCATGGACACGATGCAGCCAAGTTCTTTGCTATGGTGTAACATGGGTGACCTTTGTTCCAGTTTCCAAATAAACACTACTTTGCTTCATCAGAATGGCCTTTACTGTCCATATTTCTGTCAGCATTTTGGTCATAACCATCTAACCAATCTCTGAGAAGGTCCAAACATTCCCTCACCTTTTTGTTTTTTTCTGACCCCCTCATCAAAATTACCCTTAATGCCCTGTTCACAGCAATTCAGGTGTTTTCTAGCCTATTGGTTCAAACTCTTCCAACCTCTGCCCATCACTCAGTTCCAAAACTGCTTCTGCATTTTTAGGTATCTTTATGTCATGACCACACTCCTTAGTACAAATTGTCTGTTAGATCATTTTGTGTTGTTATAACAGAATACCTGAAACTGGGTCATTTATAAAGAAAAGGTTTATTTACCTCACTGTTCTGAAGGCTGGGACATTCAAGGGCATGGCCCTGGCTTCTGGCAAGGCTGGCTGAATGTCCCAGACAGCAGGGGGATGTAGCTTTCATAATGCATGATAACATGACAGAGAAGGTCAAAGGACAAGTGGATATATGCAAAGAGGCCTATCCCAAGGGATCTCCTGGCTTTATAACAACTCACTATCATGGGAACTCATCCATTCCTGCAGGAACTAATCCAGTCTTGCGAGAGTGAGAACCTGCTTCCATGAGATCAGCTCATGGGGGATCCACCGCCATGATCCAAATACCTCCCACTGGGCCCCCCTCCCAACACCACTCCATCGGGGATCAAATTTCAACCTAAGTTTAAGTGGGGACAAACTCAGATCATATCCAAACCATAGCACTTGTCCTCAAGGTCCTAGCCTGCTTAGACAATCTCTGAAATATCTTCAGGGTTTTTTCCCATTGTCTTCATGAATAGACCTGGGTGTCTTCTGTCTGGACTAAGATTTTTAGCAAATGTTTGCTTGGCCACAGGCTTGGTTTGTTTCCTACAGACACCTTTTCACTCTACGTGGCTCGCTTTCAAATTTCCCAAATCTTTCTGCTCTGCTTTCTTTTTCATTACAAAGTCCATTTTTTAGTCATTTCTCTTTTCTCATATTTTACGATATGTGCTTAAAGTAGCAGTACAGCTCCTTCAATATTTTGCTTAGAAATTTCCTTTACCAGATATCCTAGTTCATCACTCTTAAGTTCTGTCTTCCACAAATTCCTAGACACTGACGCAATTCTGCCAAGTTATTTGCAAGTGGATAACAACAATTTGTTATCCAGTTTCCAATACCTTGTTCCTCATTTCCTCATCTGACACCTCATCAGAATGGTCTTTACTGTCTACACCTGTCTATATTTCTACCAACATTCTGATTAGGATCACTTAAGTAATCCCTGAGAAGCTTTAGGCTCTTCTTAGTTCTTTCTTCATCTGAGCCCTGACCGGAATTGCCCATAATGTTCCATTCATGGCAGATCCTCCAAATTCTTCCACCTTCTACCCCTTTCCAGTCAAAAGCCACTTCCGCATTTTCAGGTATTTGTTGTGGCGTCAGACCACTTCACAGTATCAGTTTTCTGTCTTAGTCGGTTTTATGCTGTTATCACAGAATACCGCAGACTGGGTACATTGCAGTGAACAGAAATTAATTTGGCTAGTGGTTCTGGAGGCTGGGAAACCCACAGTTAAGGGGCTGCATCTGGTGAGGGCCTTCTTGCTGCATCATAACATGGCAGGAGGCATCACATGGGTGACAGAGAGAATGAGAGCAGCCAAACTGACTTGTATAACAAACCCACTCTTATGATAATGAGTCCACTCTTGCAATAATCACATTATCACCTTTTTTTTTTTTTTAAGAGATAGGGTTTCACTCTGTCACCAGCTTGGCTTACAGTGGCAAGACTGCAGCTCCAACTTCCTGGGCTCAAGTGAGCCCCTGCCTCAGACTTCAGAGTAGCTGGGACTATAGGCACACACCACCACACCTGACTAATTTTTTAATTTTTATAGAGATGGGGTCTTACTGTGTTGTCCAGGTGGGTCTTAAACTTCTGGGCTCAAATAATCCTCCCACCTCAGCCTCCCAAAGTGCTGAATTTACAAGCATGAGTTACCATAAGCAGCCACATTATCACCTCTTAAAGGCCCTAGCTCTCAACACTGTTACACTGGGTATTGAGTTTTTAACACATGGACTTTGGGGGACACATTCAAACTGTAGTTATATACATTTTTAGGATTATATTTTATTTAGCCCAATAGATCCAAAATATTATTTCAACATGCTGTCAATATAATAAAGTTAGTAATGTCTGATTTTACTTGCATTATGAAGTCTTTGGAAACTGGTGTGTATTTTATGTTTACACATGGCTGGCCATCTTTATAACATCTTGGCTTTATAACAACCCAATAAGCAATGGCCCCTAGGTTAACCAGTTGGATAAACGTAACTAGTTGGATAGTGCAGGTCTAGAACAATGATAGTATTTCAGCAGTGGAAGTCAGATCCTGGCAGATAAAGAAGGGCTCTAGAAAGCGACTCTAGCCTTGAGGAGGCTGATCATATGGTATCACCCAGAAAGGCTGAGTTTCTGAGGTTGACTTGGGAGTCACAGTCATAAAGTGTGTGATCAGCCTAGTCTTGCTCCAGAGTCATGACCACTTGGGTATGTTGCAGTCCGGGGTTGTCATTTTGGATCTCTTAATGTCAGAGGCCTTTCGAGGTCTGAGAGAAGTTTGGGGAGGTGAAGGCAAAGCCTTCTGTTCACGTCTTCTGATTGTTATTCTACTGACAGCACACAGCGTCCTTGCTCACATGACTGTCTACTTTCTAGCCTCCTATTGTGCATTGGAGGAGAGAAGTAGACAAGGGCTGGGAGCAGAGAACAAGGCTAGTAATGACTGAAGGTAGATGGGGTAGGTGTGGGACCACCCTCTGAATGGTATGGGGGCCACCCAGGCCATATAAATGCTGAGGCAGGCCTAGTAAAAGTGACACTGGAGTACGGTGGGGTCCCTACGAACGTGAGAGTTTGCACCCTATCTAAAGGCCGCACTTGCTTCAGCTCCCACCAATCATTGACATATACAAAACATGACTCGGTGGTGGCAGATTCATTTTTTTTTCTTTGAAGAGAAATCAGAAATCCAGATTTCTATGTGAAACCTGTATTTTGAAATCATGACAAAATATAAATAATATTTACCACTTTAACCATTCGTAAGTGTACAGTTCAGTAATGTTAAATGTATTTGCAATGTTGTGCAACCATTACCCAAAACTTTTTCATCATCCTCAATAAAATCTCTGTACTCATTGAGTAATAACTCCTCCTTTGCCCCTCCCTCCATCCCCTAGTAACCTCTAGTCTACTTTCTGTCCCTATGAATTTGCCTATGCTGGGATCCTCATAAAAGTGAAATCATACTTGTCCTTCTGTATCTGACCATGAAATCTTTTTTTAAATGCTGGTAACTAATTCATTTTATTTTTTTAAAATGTATTTTATGTCTTAAAATTTCATCAGATTAAATACCAGTTTGAAGGGCATGGTGGCATATGTCTGTAATCCTAGCACTTTGGGAGGCTGAGGCAGGAGAATTGAACCTTGGAGGCAGAGGTTGCAGTGAGCCACAATGTGCCACTGCACTCCAATCGAAGCTACAGAGCAAGACCTATCTCGTAAAAAAAATAATAATAATAATAATAAGAAGCAGCAGCTAGTTTGAGACTTCTGGGAGAGGTTGCATGGACCTGAATTTTAGTTCTGCTTCCTCCTTCCTTGAAAAGTTCTCACCAAACACATGGGCAGGTGGAAACAATGCCAGAGGCTAGCAATTCTGGGGATTAGCCCAGTACTTCCAAAAGTGGTTGGTGATTTTCCTCACCCATAGCGCTAGATGAAAATACAGAGGTCTGTGTTCCCAGCATTCTGTATTTTTTTTTTTTGAGATAGAGTCACTCTGCCACCCAGGCTAGACTGCAGTGGTATAATCTCAGCTCACTGCAACCTCCATCTCCCAGGTTCAACTGATTTTCATGCCTCAGCCTCCAGAGCAGCTGGGATTACAGGCACCCACCACCACACCCGACTAAGTTTTGTATTTTTAGTAGAGATATGGTTTCACCATGTTGGCCAGGCTGGTCTTGAACTCCCAACCTCGGGTGATCCACCTGTCTCAGCCTCCCAAAATGCTGGGACTACAGACATGAGCCACCACGCCCAGCCAACATTATGTATTATTTTCAACTGGGCTCCCAAATGAGGCTCATGATCAGGCACTCTGAAACCACCATGAGGAAGGAGCAGCATGCATGGGAAGAGACTGCCTGCTTGGAGCCACACTCTTGTCAGGGCTGATTTTTTTTTTTTTTTTTCTTTTTTTGTAGAGATGAGGTCTCGCTTTGTTGCCTGCGCTGATCTCAAACTCCTGGCCTCAGGTGATTCTCCTATCTTGGCCTCGCACAGTGCTGGGATTACAGGTGTGAGCCACTGCACCCAGCTGGTCAGGGTTGATTTATGATATGTTTGCTGAATGTTGGGTTCAGTGAAAAGCAGGGGGAGCTTGGGCCACTCACCCTTCTGATTGAGGGCAGAGACTGGGCTGGAGCTCATGATTTGGACTCACCTAAGGTACTGAAAATGTCCTGAGCCAGGGTTGGGGAGTTGGGGAGCCCTAATGGGATGTGAGCTGAAACCATGCATATGCTCCACATCCTTTGGGTTCTTTGACATTCAATTTAGTGCACTGAGGAAGCTCAGATTGGCCTGGCCTGGCTTCTGCCTTGGCTTTAATAGTTTTTTCCTCTATAACCTAATCTTGGAAGTGACTTTTCTTTTTTCTGTTTTGAGAGGCAGAGTCTTGCTCTGTTGCTCAGGCTAGAATTCAGTGGCACAATCTCAGCTCACTGCAGTCTCGACTTCCTGGGCTTAAGAGCTCCTTGCTTCAGCCTACAGAGTAGTTGGGACTACAGGTGTGTGCCACTTTGCCTGACTAATTATTTTATTTTTTGTGGAATTGGGGTCTCACTCTGTTGCCCAGGCTGGTCTTGAACTCCTGGCCTCAAGCAATCCTCCTGCGTCCGCCGCCCACAGTGCTGGGATTACAGGCATGAGCTATCACTCAGGACATGCCTTGGCTTTGTTGCCTTGCCAGGCACTGTTATGGTAGCTTGTTAATTTCACAGAATCAAGTCTACATCTTCAGTTTCCAATTTCCAGACCTACCCTCCCCGCCTTTTCCTATTCAACCTGTCTCTTATTACCTCCCAGCCTTGTCTCTGCTCTGACCACTCTGACTACATACTATCTTCTTGGGATATATCCTTTGCATCTAAGACTTAGGCAGTGGAGAGGAATGCCAGCAAAATGGTGGACTAGAAAGCTCCAGGCTCTCGTTTTCCTGCAGAAACATTAAACAACCAACTAGGACGTGGCTAAAATAACTTCTTTTAAGGAACTTTGGAAGTCAAAGATCTGTAGCAACCAAGCCCCCCCCTCCCAACCAAGAAAAAGACACATCCAAAGCCATGGGCAATGTCACGGCTTTTTAACTCACCTTTGACCCATTTCCTCCCCCATGCTCTGCCTCCAGTCCCCAGCTGTCCTCTGCAAACTGAGTAGATGGAATTTACAACATTTTAACCTGCTTTAACTCAACTGTATTTTTATACTCTAACAATGTACCACGCCCCTCAAAAAAATTAAGAAAAAATTCCATTTACAATAGCATTAAAAAAATAAAATACTTAGGAATAAACCAAGGATGTAAAAGTCAAGTATACTGGAAACTACAAAACGTTGCTGAAAAAGATTAAATAAGATGTAAATAAATGGAAAGACGTCCTGTGTTTGTGGATTGGAAGACTTAATGCTAAGATGTCAATACTCTCTAAAACGATATCTAGATTTAATGTAATTCCTGTCAAAAATCCCATTAATGATTTTCATGGAAATAGAAAAATCCTTACCCTAAAATTCATATGGAATTTCAGGGAAGCCTGAATAGCCACAACCATCTTGAAAAAGAACAGCATCAGAGAGCTCACACTTCCTGATTTCAGAATTTATTACAAAGCTACGGTAATGAAGACAATGTTGTACTGGGCATAAAGACAGCCATACAGACCAGTGACATAGAGAAAAGAGTCCAGAAATAAACCCTTGTGTATACGGCCAGATGATTTCCAACAAGGGTGTCAAGACCATTCAATGAGGAAAAGACAATCTTTTCAATAAGGGGTGCTGGGAAAACTGGATAACCATATGAAATTGGACCCTCGCATTGTCAGAGGCATTTGAACAAGAGCAACTCCATCTTGAATAGGGGCTGGGTAAAATGAGACTGTCACCTGCTGGGCTGCATTCCCAGGAGGTTAGGCATTCTAAGTCACAGGATGAGATAGGAGGTTGGCACAAGGTACCAAAGACCTTGCTGATAAAAGGAGGCAGCAAAGAAGCCTGCCAAACCCACTAAAACCAAAACAGTGATTAAAGTGATCTCTGGAGTGGGTAAGGGGTTGGGGTTGCACATTTCCCCCATTCCAATCCCTGATTTTTCTGATGACCAGCCCCTCCTGAGGCCACCTAGGAGGTCTACCTATGTTGCCTCATTAGCATAAAGTTTGGTGTCATGGAAAGGGGACCCTTAGAAAATAATGAGATATTCCCATCACTCAGGAAATTCCAGGGTTTTTATAGCTCTGTGCCAAGAACAGAAGACAAAGACCAAATACTATTTTTATTATACCTCAGTTACCTGGAGTAGTCAAATTAATAGAAACAGAAAGTAGAATGGTGATTGTCAGAAGCTGGGGGAAAGAGAGAATGGTGAGTTACTGTTTAACAGGTACAGTGTCACATTGGGAAGATGAAAAAAGTTTTAGAAATGGATGGAGGTGACGGTTGCACAATAATATGAATGTACTTAATGTTGCGGAACTATACAGTTAAAAATTGTTTAAAAGTCAACAATTGTGTATATTTAGCCACCACTAAGCGAACAAACAAAAGACATCCTGCTTTTGAGGTGTTCCCTTCTAGCTGGAATCCCTGCTCACCTCCTGCTGCCATCCACATCAGCCTTTAGGCTCTAAAGAATGCATTCCCTAGCCTGTGTACTTGCTGGGTCTATTCCAACACTGGCTTTGGTTTTCTGGTGGTTTGCATATTTCTCCCTCTTCTTTGTCCTTCTCTTGTCCACCTCCCCTCCATCTCCACTTCTTCTTCCTACTAAATGGCAAACTTCCCAGAGGGCCAGAACCTGGGCTGATGATAGGCAGAGAATTTCTAGACAGAAAGGGTAGGGTCCCTGACAAGGGTCCCACCCTCAAGCCTGAAACCTCAGCCCAAAGTGAGAACTTTACATCCCCGTTTTCTGGCTCAAATGTTGCCTTTCCAAAACCACCCCTGCTCCCCCGCCCTCCACCATCCTGTACCCATAAAAACCCCAGGCTCTACTGACAGAGAGCAGAGAGGGAGAGAAGCAGTAGCCAGACATCAGAGAGCAGAAGCGTTACTTTAGAGAAACAGCTTGATAGTGGGACTTTGGAGAAGAGTCCAGCTGGGGACAGCCAGACTTCAGGGGAAGAACACCTTCCTGCTCCCTCTGCTTTCCAGCTCCCCTTCCCACTGAGAGCCACTTCTATCAGCAATAAAATCTCCTGATTTACTATCCTTCAATTCATTTGTGCCATCTGATTTTTTCCTGGACGCCAGACAATAGCTCAGGATACAGAGAGCTGTCATACTGGCTGTACTGGCTCTCTGCCCTCATGAAAAGGCGTAGCGTCCACTGAGCTGTTAAACATTTAAGCTAAATGAGTGCAATATAAAAAACACCCTCTGGGGCTTTGGGGTCACAGGTACCCCCCGCTAGATGCTGCCGGAGTTTTGCTCCTGCTGGTAGGTACCCCAAAGCGCTAACTCCAGGCCCTGTACCTGCTTGCCTGTGTGCTCCTGGTTCCTCAAGGGGCTGAGAGCTGCGGGCTAAGTGAGACACCCCTGTTACGAAGCCCACAAAGGGGTCAAGGAAAATTTCCTGTTTCACTGACACATCTGTCCTGTGTCTCAGAGCAAGGCCCTGGGCACAACAGCTGCTTGCAGATGGATGGGCAAATTAACAGGTTTTCACTTCCTGAAAGGAATTAAGATGACCAGTTAACTGAGAGTTCAGGTGGTTGGAGGAGAAGATTCTGCTGCCTGGGTTGTCTTCTTGATGTGACTGGTTCTTATTCCTTATGTGGAAAAAGGTACTGAATCCTTACTGCGTGGCTTGGACTGTGCCAGACCTAGGGTACTGAGAACACTGTCGCTGAGTCTGCTGTGTACCCTTTGATGAGTGTCATCACTTTCATAGGTTTTGGCTTCATTGGTCAAATAGCAATTATACTGGCTACTGCAGAAGGTGCCGGAAAGGATTAGATGAGACAATACATGGAGAGCATTCAGATGGTAGTTTCTCAGATAAGAAGTGCTAAATGAGGTCAGGCGAGATGGCACATGCCTGTAATCACAGCACTTTGGGAAGCCAAACGGGAGGATTGTTTGAGCCCAGGAGTTCAAGACCAGCCTGGGAAACATAGTAAGATCACTATCTTTACTAAAAAAAAAAAAAAGTACTAAATAAAGAACAGATGTTCTCAGTACCATCATCAATAAGAGTAATTGCCTCTGTCTTCTGTTGGCTCTGGATCTAGAAAGAGAGGCCAGCACTGAAGTCTCTCCTAACACTACCAGACATTGTCCCAGTGTAGGCGCAGTGTGGACAAGCAGGGCAGCTTCCTCAAGGTGAAGGCTGAGCTGAATCTTAATGAGTAAAGTGACCAGGAGTTGGTACAGAGGGGAGGCTGGGCCATGGAGGTTTCCCAGTACTATCCTGATGGGGACTTGCCCCTCTTGAGAGCTACTTAAACTAAAAGCAATACAGGTGCAGGAAATTGGTGTCATATTCCCAGAGTGCGGTGATGAAGACTTTGGAGACTCTGGGATGACACAGATACTCAGTGGGTCAACCCCTGTGCCTGTGCCTGAGACCTGAGTCTCACAAACCTGAGACTGAAGGAATCGGGGTGCCTGATAATGGGAGGCTTATCAGGTGTTCACAGCTATTTTCCACCGCCTGGTTCTTGATCTTTTTTCAACAATGCTGTTAACAGGATGTCCTTCCCCTGACTTCAACTCCCCTGAAGCCTCAACATCAAACAGCCCTGTGTGGATTGCAGGATGTAGGTTGGAGTCCTATCAAGGATTATTAAAAATAAATAAAACAAACCACACTCACACACACACACACACACACACACACTTAAGGTGAAGGTGATAGTTGTTGTTTCCTCTTCTTTCTTTCTTTCTTGACCTCCTGACTTCTACCTAGCACCATTCCCAAGTTAACCCAGTGGAATATCTCCCCTCCCTCGATCTGCAGAGCTAAGGGCCTTTTTCTTTGGTGAGTCATTCATAGTTGGAGGGGGGCACCCTGCAAGCTCTGGCGGCCCAGCCAGACACTTCTGCTTTCTGACCTGATTACAGGCATCTTTCCTTTTTCATACTGTGCAAAAAGTTGAGCTCAGCCTCTCACCCCAACACAATTCAAGACGCAGCCTCGTCCCAGCATGAGGGCAGATAACAGGAGCACCATCTGTGTTTGTAGAAGCTGGAGCTGGGAGGTGAGGATAGATCTTACTTCCTTCCCAACTTCTTTGGGTTCATTCGTGTGTCCGGAGCCTCAGGAGGGAGCAGTGTTTGCTTTGGCTCCCCTCCGATTGCTTCTCCAGAGAGGAGCTGAACACAAGTTCTTTTCAGTTCCAGGAGGCTGCTTTTGATTGCACAGCCCTGCCGGCTCCGGAAGAGAGGGACACAGAAGCTGGAGCAAGGTTGGGGGCTGTTGTTCTCCCTTTTTTCTTCTTCTCACCCCTGGAAATTCCTGATTTCTGCACACAGTGACTGGTTTGGCATGGCTGGGTCTCCTGTGGCGGCTCTAGAGGTAGCTGTCTGTGTGCAAGTCTATTTGCTGTGTCCGTCTACTAGAAAACATAGGAGGTGAGCAGGCATGAGGCATCCATGGGTTTTTTGTTTTTTGAAACAGTGTCTCATTCTGTCATCCAGGCTGGAGTGCAGTGGTATGATCACACCTCATGTAGCCTCAACCACCTCAGGCTCAGGTGATCCTCCCACCACACCTCAGCCTTTCAAGTAGCTTGGACTGTAGGCTCACGCCACCACGCCCAGCCAATTTTGTATCTTTTTTTTTTTTTTTTTTTTTTTGTAGAGATGGGGTTTTGCCACTTTGCCCAGGATGGTCTTGAACTCCTGGGCCCAAGTGATCTGCCCTCCTGTTCCTCCCAAAGTGCTGGGATTACAGGTATGAGCCACCATCCCAGTGAGGCATCCATGTTAAAGCAGGGTTCATTCTCAGGGCTGTTTGTTTGGGGTTGTTGCTGCCTTTTGAGGAATCCAGGCCTTCTTGGACCTTTGTTCTCTGTTTTTTGGTGGGTGCTGGACAGGTTTCTGGAGACACTCATTTGAGCACACCCCTGGATTCATTCTTTCTTTGCTGAGAACTAGACAGGAACACACCTCTCTCCCACCATCCCTGCCTAGGACAGGTAGGGGAAGCCAGCAGCTGAGAATTCTCTCAATTTCCTTCCTCAGTGTAGTGGAGATCAATTGTTTCTAAAGTGTAATCCATGAGTCTCTAGCACCAGAACCACCTGGATGTTCATTAAAAATGCAAATTCAGGGACTCACACTTGTAGTCCCAGCACTTTGGGAGGCTGAGGCAGGAGGATTGCTTGAGTCTAGAAGCTGGAAACCAGCCTGGGCAACATGGAAAAACCTCGTCTCTACAAAAAATACAAACAATTAGCCAAGCATGGTGGTGCACACCTGTAGTACTAGCTACCGGGAAGGTTGAGGTGGGAGGATCACTTTAGCCTGGGAGGTGGAGGTTGCAGTGAGCCAAGATCAAGCCACCTCACTCTAGCCTGGGGGATAGAGTGAGACCCTGTCTCAGGGAAAAGAAAATTTAAAAAAGCAAATTCCTAGGCACCAGAGCAGACCCAAGGAATTAGCTCCTCTGGATTGGAACCCAGGAATATGTATTTTTGATTCTCCTTCCATGGATTCTGATGCCCACTGAAGTCTGATAACTCCTGGTATAGAAACCATGGAAGGCTGGGTGTGGTGGCTCACACCTGTAATCCCAGCACTTTAGGGAGCCGAGGCAGGCGGATCACGAGGTCAAGAGATCGAGACCATCCTGGCCAATGTGGTGAAACACTGTCTCTACTAAAAATACAAATATTAGCTAGGTGTGGTGGCGTGCTCCTGTTGTCCCAACCTCTCAGGAGGCTGAGGCAGGAGAATCGCTTGAACCCAGGAGGCAGAGGTTGCAGTGAGTCCAGATTGCCCCCACTGCACTCCATCCAGCCTGGGCAACAGAGCGAGACTCAGTCTCAAAAAAAAAAAAAAAAAGAAGAGGAAGAAGCCATGGAAGCTGGACCTGCAGCCACGTCTGGGGCCTCCAGCAGAACACCTGTCCTCTTTGGGCTTCAGCTTTGCTTTCTGTAGTGAGAGTGCCCACCTCACAGGGTTGCTATGAAAGCTAAATGAGGCGATGTGTGTGTAAAGCAGTTCCTGGAACCAAGTAACCCTCCGTACACATTTACTGAATCCACAGCTATCTTTTCCTCCTCTACCAAACTCATGTTCTACAACATTCTGGTGGTAAAAATAGGTAAACTGAGGTGCAGTTACAATTTTTTAAGAGTTTATTTGAGCAAACAGTGACTCATGATTTGGCTGGCTCCAAACCAGAAGTGGTTCTGGATCACCCTGAGTCTCAGACCATATCTTCTGGGGATATGATGCTGCCTCGTGCCTTTGTGAGACTCACGAAGGTTCCATGGGAAGAGAGCAGGGCTGGGAATGGAACAGCAGAAGTCTCGATGTGGATGATGAGCTCTGCGACTACATGTTGCTTAAACTCAGTTATGAAGTGGAGAAGACAATATGGCCCTTACAGGACTCTGCTTCCTTGTCTGTACTTTGGACATCCTGCTCTTGATCTCACTGGGTGGTTTTGTTTTTTGAGATGGAATCTCATTCTGCTGCCCAACTGGAGTGCAATGGTGCGGTCTTGGCTCACTGCAACCTCCACCTCCCTGGTTCAAGTGATTCTCCTGCCTCAGCCTCCCGAATAGCTGAGATTACAGGTGCCCGCCACCACGCCTGGCTAATTTTTCTGTTTTTAGTAGAGACAGGGTTTCACCATGTTGGCCAGAATGGTTTTGAACTCCTGACCTCATAATCTGCCCACCTCAGCCTCCCCAAAGTGCTGGAATTACAGGCGTGAGCCACCGTGCCTAGCCTCTCACTGGGTGATTTAGAAGCTGAGGTAATATGTTGGATGTGTAGGTGCCTTAAAAATGGTGAAACATTTTGCCAATGTTGACTTTTAGTGCCCTTTCTTGAACTTAAAAAAATGGGCTGGGTATGATGGTTCACATCTGTAATCCTAGCATTTAGGGAGGTTGAGGTGGGAGAATCACTTGATGCCGGGAGTTTAAGGACAGCCTTGGCAACATAGTGAGACCCTATCTCTACAGAAACAGTTAAAATGTTGGTTGGGTGTGGTGGCACATGCCTGTAGTTCTAGCTACTTAGGAGCTAGAGAAGATCACTTGAGCCCAGGAGTTTGAGGTTACAGTGAGCAGTGATTGCACCACTGCACTCCAGCCTGGGCAACAGCGTGAGATCTCATCTAAAAAACAAAAAAATACTCTGGACTTGCCTTTTGATAGTAGAATGAAAAGTGCTTCTCTAGACACACTTTGTGTCCTGCCTGGATTGGGGGCCATGCCCTCTATGTAGAGGGCTCAGCATTATTGCCTTTACAGCAGCTCATGGTTCAGGATAAGCTCCATCATCCTGGCTGCAGGAGCCTCTCTCAGAGTGTCTGGACTTCAGAGCATTCCTCTTATCAGTAAAGAAAGGAAAACTGCCTTTGCTGATTTGATACTCTTGAGCTGAGCCATTTGGCAGCTCCAGGAATCCACCAGAGCATTCTGGTTCTTTTGGATTCCAGGAAACTCACAGCTTGCTGCAGAAGGGCCTGTTACCGAGGAGTGGCAAGGTGCAGCGTTTGAGTCTATATGTGCCTAGGATGGTTCTTCTCTTCAGGGTAGGAAGATAGATGGCTGTGGTGGCACAACACAGAACTGATTTGTCCCCACCCTCAGGAGATAGGCCTGGGAGTGAGAATGTTTATCCTGAGGGCATGGTGGTCCTGGCCCTACCAAGTTTTCTCACAGCCCCTCACAGTTAGCCAGTGGCAGTGATTGACGGTAACACATGGCGATCGGTAGGGCTTGGACAGTCCTCGTGAGGATGTTGGAACCCTTAGGAAGATGTTGCAGTTTCTCTTTGACAAGTTTCTCTCTCCAGAGTTCCTCTCTCTCTCCTTAGGGAGGAAGGAACCTCATTGTCTTCCCTAGGTATGACTGGCCCTGTATTCTCATGCTACCCCACCGAAAGCCATGTCCTTTATTAGTGTGCCCCCATCCTGGGCCAGCTCTCCATCCCTTGCAAATAACCCACACAGTCCCCGGCCATCACATTTTTATCTCTGTTCTGTAACACATTCCTTGAGTCCTGAATTGCGTCCCCTCCAGCCAGCTTCCCTGTGTCTCTCCATTTGACAGCAGGCAATGTAACAAATGAAAGCCAGTAGGGAAGGCTCCCCTTGGCCTGTCATAGGTTTTTTTGTGTTTGTTTTTGTTGTGAGACAATCCACCTTAGCCTGTATTTTCTTTATTGAACAAATACTATTGAGCATCTACTCTGTGCCAAACAAGAAACATTTTCACAGCTGGGGATGCAGCAATGAATGGGAAGGGAGAGTTCCCTGTTGGCAATAGCCCTCTGTTCTTGCAGAGTTCACGCTGAAGGAAAGAGAGATTAGACTACAAGCCAGTCACACAGGAGTGGCTAATGGTGCATGCCAATGTCAGGCCAAGTAGGAGGGCAGGTGACTTCAGAGCAGGATACTAGGAGATGTTTTCTATGTAAGCAGGTGCCTCAGTAACTCCCTAAACAACGGGGCCAGATCTAATGGTGCTGCAATCTCTGTCTCTCTCTCAGGGCAATTTAAGATGTGGGTGACTGATAGTTTTCTTGGTGTAAGCTATCCTATCTATTTCTCGAAGTGCATGCTCCGAAGAAGCTTCTTGCCCGTGGCAGTCCACGTAGCAACAACTCTTCCAGGGCCTGCCAGTAAGTCCATCCAGATTTAGAAGGAAATGTGGGAGGATGAGAAACACTGATTGTCACGTGAGCACCACTTTTAGGAATGACAGCATGTTGCCTTGCAGACAAAGGAGACAATTATTCTCCTTTGGGCTGTTTTATCTGTCGAAGGTCAGGGAGTGGCATGTTTGAGTTGGGAGGATAGGTGGGGGGTTACTGTTGAGGGAATGCACGACACGGTAGAATCCCTCTGTTGGCTGTTGATTGCTGGTCACAGCTATTGGGGAGTTGGTGGGCAGTCAGTGCCAAAGCATTTGAATGGAGCTTTGCACGTCGCCTACTTCAAATGTGAAAGGTCTGGAGTAAGATTTGCATGATGTGGTCTGTGATCTCAGCTGGCTGGGTGGTTTGAAAGACACCC